CTGTGAGAAGATACAGGCCACTGATTTTTTGCAATTTGCATCACCACACTCTAAGTTATGTTGAAAGCTAAGCTTTTTGGTCCTCTTGCTTTAGAAGTACATTAATATTTCTATGACCTTTACTAGATGGCAGATGAGAAGCATTAGGAATAAAATAACAAGCAAACTAAAGGAAACCAATATTTTGAAATGCATATTTTTGATCCTGGCTTTGAAAGGAGCAAGAGGGAGAAGAATGTACTCTGAAAAGACCATAAACTTTATTTAAAGAAGGAATAAGTGTTCCTTTGTAGCCTATTTGTCCATGTTGAAACATTTCTTTATGATCTATGGCATGCAACTTCTGATCAAATACATCTGAGAGTTGTTCTTTGGTCATCTATTTGCAAAATCTATGAGGATTTAAAATAAATAAATAAAAAACAATAGTATAATTTACAGAATGGTTATTTACCATATACATTCAGTTGCAATATTAAAAGCATGGTCACAATATAATGGCAAGTATTTTGTATCCAGTGACTTTAGTTTAATTAATTTTCAAAGCCTGCATATTAAATAGTAATGCTGTAAGCAGAAGTTGAGTAGAAAGGCTTTTCTTTGAGAGACCTAAAATATCAGTTTTAAATTATTATTTTAAAAGAAAACCAGCATAATTTTACCCAGGAAACTGCCTTCTTTCAGCAGAATTGTTTTTAGTGGTTTAACTGCACACCGGAAGCTAAATCTGTTCCTGTTCATGTAGGTATCAGTGCCACCGCTAAAAGGAACAGGCCCAAGAATGACTTTTTCGTGACTTGAAATCTCACTGTTTTCTGAGCAACATGCATAGATAAAGGCCCTGATTCAGCAAGGTGCTGAAACATATGCAGAACATTAGGCTTATAAGCAGTCCCATTAACTCCAGCAGTTTGCTGAACTGAGTCTAATTGGAGCTAGAATTGTGATTACTTAACAGTAAGTTTCATTTGCATGTTTTATACCACGTGACATACAAATGCATCAAGTCAAAGGACATAGCGTTAAATCTCTACTTTGGACTCTGCATAGGAATTGGCTTTGCCAAGAAAGGAAAAAGAAATGTTGAAAACAATACAAAATAAACCCTCTGATATCAGCGAGGATCAAACTGAATTGGTTAGACTTACTTTTGGCTCAATAAATAAATTGTCAACCACCCAACCTGGTCTTACTGAGTCACGGGGTATTATATTGTGTTTCACCTATCTTTTTGTTTATTTTTAGAAAGGTATTTCATTAATATAGAGATTGCCTATGATGCCTAATTTAAAAGGGCACTATCAGGTTGTTTTGGGTCCCAAGTTTAGATTTCATCAAAATAAAAAATTAGAGGAAGTGTTTCATAGACAAAACAGAAATGCGTTCCTAAGTTTTTAAAAATTTATTTCCAAGTCAATAGAAGACATCTGAGGTTGGATGTAAACATACCTATGCAGTGTTACAGATCAAGTACTGGAGTGCTCTGCTCTTAGTTAAGGTATTACAGAAAATGAAAGTGACTGTGCTTCAAAAAATAAACTGATTGTTTTATTCCTGTTGAAATGTACACTACGTGTTTCTTGGGAGAAATGGTATCTCTGCTCATCCCACTCAATTGCCTCCCTCCACCCCACAGGACATTGCATGGCTGACATTTGTACAGCAAACTAAGGGATGTGGATGTCCAGTTGCAGTTATATGGCAACTAGGTGTCCAAACTCCCTATGCTGCTGGTCAAGTGCCAAGCTAGAAATCTCTTACTTTAGAAATCTCTTACTTTAGAAATGTCAGGAATGAAATGTGCTGTAAGAATGAAGAACACCAGTCTTATTTGTGAAGCCACAGGGCTGGGAGTCAGGAGGCCTGGATTCTTTCCTCTGCTTGACAAATGTTTTACTGTTTTGGACTGATTTTCTATTTGTTCAGTCTCCATGTGGGTTTTTCTCCCACTTTATGTCTAGCTGCAAAATGCACAGGTCAGGGAAGCCAGCTGTGAGCAAATTATCCCTCATAGATATACTCCATACCTACACTGCCTGGTATCAGGGACCAAGCTGGGTACTGACGTTGGTGGGCTCACAGTGTCGCACCATTCATTGGGAGCCCAGAATGGCCCATGGTAACCAAGCACCTGCCCCTTTGGGCTCCTAAATTATGATGGAGGCTACTCCAGACCTTGGAGCAAAGGTCTGATAATCCAATGAAGCCACCTTTGCCCTCCAACTTCCACAGCTGCAAGCTCTACATGGCATCTCCAAGGGCTTATCCACACTGCCAGGAAACATCCATTACTCCTGCTCTGCACACTCTGGGTCCAGTAAATGACACAGTGGGCACATCTACACGCGATGCTACATCACCATAGTGATGAACTACAGCAATGTAGCTTGTCACTACGGTGATGTAGCATCAGTGGGCACAAATCTGAGCAATATTTATGGGTAGTTTGCTGTTGCATCAGTTTCTGTCTTACCTAATATGATGCAGACCAGTCCAGTAAGCAAATTTCAGGCTTTTATTTTGTGGTTCCTTTTACTTCCTCAAAGATTTCAGCCATAAGCAACAGTAAGTCATAAATACAAGTATAATAATAACATGTAATAAGGACTACCACAAACACCCACTTCTATATTCTTTTTTCTTTTGTTCCATATTTAAAATATGCACACACTTCACACATTTCCTTCCTCCTCCCCAGTCCTACAGAGGCTCTTGGTTAGTCTAGTAAAGGAGTGGTTCTTTTAAACTTGAATTGTTTCTTGTTCTATCTTATTGAAAGAATTTTGTGGATAAACTGGAGTGAGCATTTGTGACAAAGGCCCCTGGTGATTAAACTGAGATGAGCCTCCATGCTTGGAGATGTACCTGCAATTACAAAACAGAAGGAAACCTCTTTTAGGAACGCTGTGTTTGTATTGCCCAAAAATACATTATTCTCTCACATTTCTTCCTGGTGGCCTTGGAGAAAGACTGTCCAGTCATGGAAGCCCCAGAAGGCTTATATAAGAACCAGCCTGTTACCTAGTAGGGTCAGGAGACTGAACAGAATTGTGTGCGGTTGTTTTCCCTTTGGGCAAGTCTCAAGTAAAGAGCTCTGTTGTATTAAACCAGCAAAGATGAAAGGATGGGACCAGATCTGATCACAACTGTCAGTGAAGGAATTCTCCTGACATGAGAGAACTCCTTGCATGTGGATGAAGCTGCTGTACCAGATGTCCCCTACTCCAGATATTCAGAGATTTTGTGGGGAGGTAGGAGACAGGTTGATGGAATTAGTTGATGGTTGAAAGAATTAGTCCATGTGAAAATATAGGAGCTGAAGTCCACCTCCATTTACATTTGTTTATCACCACTGACTTCACTGGGTGGTTTTTGGGGGCGGTTTTTTTGAGTGTTACTGTCTTTTCACCTCTTCTATGCACACATTTCCCAAAACAAATGGATCTCTCTTCCTATCTAAAAATCCCCCTCCTAAAGCCTCATGTGATAAAAGTGGTACAGCAGCCTGCTAAGGGAAGCCAGCTCTTTCCCCCAAAACTAATATAATCGATGTGTTAGTTTTAGCCACTTGAATATCGACATGTGCTTATGCTAATTAGCTCCACATCATGTAGATATGGCTATACCTGTCTGGTTTCAGGCCAGTGCATAGGAGATAAGATGAGGAGATGTGCACGGGAGGCTGTCTGTGGGGCAGCCATGGGATGTATTGGTAGGTGGGTGGGAGGGTGTGGACACAGCTGAAAACAGGGGGACATGAAGTTGAGGAGGGGTGGGCTTGGGATTGTGCAAGAAGCTGGAGGTAGGTCGTAGAATCAGAAATGTTTGAGAACCACTGTACTAAAGGACTCTGAAACCTGCCCATCTTTCTATCACCCATTATCAGAGTGTCTGAAAACCAGATAAAATAATAATAATACTTTATGTATCTAACAAAAATATTCATACTTAAAAGAAGAAGTGGTTTTGGTGCTATTATACCGTCCATGTCACACTACTGATTTCCACAAGCTTGCAAGGAAGTTTCATCCCCAAACTCTGAGAGTTTTGATCCAAATGAAAAAAGTAAAACCATGGTCTTGAATAGGGATGTGGACAACATGGAGAGGGTCCAGAGGAGGGCCACCAGCATGATCAGGGGTCAGCAGGGCAGGCCCTACAAGGAGAGGCTAAGGGACCTGAACCTGTTCAGCCTCCAGAAAAGAAGGCTGAGGGGCGATCTAGTGGCTCTTTACAAACCAGTCAGAGGGGAACAGCAGGCATTGGGGGAGACCCTGTTTCCCCGAGTGCTACCAGGAGTGACAAGAAATAACGGTCACAAGCTGGCAGAGGGTAGATTCAGGCTAGATATCAGGAGGCGCTTCTTCACTGTCAGGGTGGCTAGGATCTGGAACCAACTTCCAAGAGAAGTGGTGCTGGATCCTACCCTGGGGGGTCTTTAAAAGGAAGCTGGATGAACACCTCGCCGGGGTTGTTTGACCTCAGTACCCTTTCCTGCCATGACAGGGGGTTGGACTTGATGATCGGCTCAGGTTCCCTCTGACCTTACCAAATAAGAAACTATGAATAGTGCCAGCTGTTTACAGTTGATACTTCCCACATGAGCATGTGTTAGAATCATCTTTTTAAAATCATTACTATAATTATCATTTAACAGAAGCCTACAGACTCTCCTGTGTTGTTTCTAAGGGTGCAGACAGATGTTAAGGCTCTGCTGTAATTAATGGTGCTTTGCATAAAGTGCCATGAGTTAGAGCCCGCCCCCACAGTCTAACAGACATTTGCTTTTTGGGCGGGGGGAAGCAGGGTGGAGCCAGCCTGCACCAGCATAGGCCAGTAGGTGGGGGCACTCCAGCAGCCTCCCAGCCAACCCCTCCCCCCCACCTACTTCCAGTGCTGTCAGCAAGGGAACTCAGCTTCTGAATGGCCAGAATAGGGGGTGGAGGGGGGGGGAAGAGGTGCAGGGAATGGGGCTCTTGTGCCTCAAAGACCCACCTCAGCTACCTTGGCTGGCATACTGGGGGGAGCTGGGTAGGGCCCATGAAGCTAGAGGGCTCCATTCCCCCCCACCCTCAGCTCTGGCCATTCAGCAGCCAGTAGCTCTATGCTGGCTACTCCTGGCTGCTCACTGGCCAGAGCTGGTAAAGGGAATGGATCCCTCTTGCCTTGGGGGCCCAACCCAACTCCCCCCATCTGGAGTAGGCTGGGGGGGGCACAAGGCAGGGGGCCCCCATTCCCTGCCCCCTTTCCCCAGCTCTGGCCATTCAGCAGCCAGCAGCTCTCTCTCCTGCTCCATGAGAGCCTGTGGGATGGGGATGGGCACCAGCTCAGCCCTGCCCTCCACATGAAAAATTAACCATGGAGGAAACACAGCCCTCAAAGGGCCTCACTTATACTTAGACTGCTGTTTTAAACAGGGCTATAAATATTGCAGCCATCTCCACTCACAGCGAATGAGTATCCCAGTGAGCATAACATGCAACTGTAGTATGTTAAAACCAGTGCTCCTATTCCCAGGGAAATACATCTGGTCCACTGGGCATGTGTCTCCCAGTCTCACTTTTCTCATACATGGTCCTAGGAAAAAAAGTCACAAGACACTGCCCTGATTCTATAGGCACCCCACATTATGGAAAAAAATCCATCCACTGTTCACTGCATTTGCTTGATACCCCTAGTGAAGTCAAAGGAAAGGACAGACATATTTTTCTTTTCTTTAGATCACACTGGCATCTGACACTTTGCTCTTGAAATCAGGTATTGTCTGAATGCCACCAATAATGTCTGCTGAGGCACATCTGCATCTTTCTTTGCACATGCCATGTTAAAGTACCACAAGCTCACATCAAGATGGTTTGAGTTCAGCTTGAGAAGCCTGTAAAACCCCAAGACCCTGCCACATATTTTCAGTCTTTATAACCAGCAAACTGCTATTACCAGTGAATGCCTGTTTTCCAGGTACAGCTGTATGGGAACAGAATAGAGGTGCAAAGGAGTGCAGGAAGTGTATATGGAATCCAGTGTGTTCTGCACACCAATTAATTACTTTGGAAGGTAGGTGAATTCTTTAGTACCCAGCCTGCTTCACTTTATCTTTCAAGCGAGGGTTACGTTTAGCAAGCTGACGTCTTACTTGGCATAATTCTATTGTCTTGCGAGACAGACAGATAGATGCCTATTACTATTAGTCAGCTTCCTAAGGCTTGTGAGTAATTTAGGACACTGCACACTGGTAGCACAGAGAAAAGGATGACATCTTTGCAGATAGTCTCCTAATGACAATTAAAATAAAAGGTAGTTTAAAAAATGATGAATGTCTTAGGAAGTAGTGGGCTTTCTGATGATGTCACCAAGTCTTACTTTACTACGGGGGAAAAAAAAAGAATATTCAAGATCTGGATAGACAATATAACAGCACTTAAGGAAGGGGACAAAAAATGATAAGTAACTCATTAGCTGCTTCTGAGAGAGAGGGCTAGGCACAGAGCAACTAGAGGAACTGTAATGAAAATGTTTTTGTAAGATGTTGATGCACAGGTTAAAAAAAAAATTGAGTTTTACTGCCACTGACAACAGTGGGAATGATGTGCCTAAATATATATTGAAAATCTGGGCCTCAGATACTGCTATAATGATAAACCTGGTATAAAAGGGAAATATGGAGTAATGACAGTTTTCTGTATGGAAATCATCCATATCATGAGGGCTTTACATCTCCAAGCAAGCACAACTTCATATTTAGCACCATTACATGTACAAAGTCCAAAGAATTCCAGAACACACAGGAGACTCAATGTAGCCAGCACTCTAAAGGAATAAAATAAAAACAACTGCTGTTTAAGAAACCTTGATTTCCTGCAGCATTAAATGTACATTTCAATGCACACTGTCAGAAGTTTCAAAGAAATCCTAAAAACCAGTCTCTGATCATCTCAGCAGCTACATGATGGGATCTGACTCCAATATTGTTTCTTAAATCAAAGAAATGTCATGCTTAATATTTAATTGTTCTTTAATGAAATAAGTATAATTAGGATTTTTCCTCTAACGTTTCTGAACAAATTGAGTAATACGCCTCATACTTACCCATGCATTCGTGCAATTATTGAAGGGGATGTTGATGGAAGATTAGAATTTGCTGGGTGGGTTGCTGTCCAATGAACCTTGCCAGTATATCCAGGGATATTTGGAGTGCTAAAGGGAAAAGTTAAAAGGGGGAAGGGCAAGAGGGGAATAAATTAAATGATGACAGGCTTGAAATAATGATTCGCAGAGAGTTGTAAAAGATTAAAGTGCTTGCTTGTGCTTCCCTATTTAAAGTGGGTAGGAGATAACGGATGTAAATGTGTGATATTTAAGGGGCAAGACCATGGGGCCAAAACTCCAACTGTGGCAATCTGGCATAGCTCCTTTGGCTTCCAGGCACCTACCTCGGCATACACCAGATGATCATCTGGTCCCTAAACTGAGTCTTTAGAAGACAGGGCAAAAATGAATTTTGAGTTCTCCAGCATTGAAAATGGAAGGTTTTATTTGATTGTCTGCATACCACTTCCAACCAGGAACACCATGACATCTAAAAAGAGTTACTAATCACAAGGTTCACAAAAACATTAAAGCAATTGTTTAAAAACATATGATTCAAATGGAACTTTTGGGTCTCACTTTCAAATGTAGGATTTAGATGACTGACTTTAGAAAGCCGAGTTTGAATGTTCTGGCTGGATCCCAAATATCCTATGCTGTTTCACACTCTTCAGACTTCTAGTACAATTAAGTTAATGTTAATATGAATAATGCTCTCATAAGATTTCTTTTCTTTCTTCCATTGATTCAAATGGAAACAAGGCATCAACCCATCCATGTGTTTTTATTGTGTACAAGTGATTTAAGATAATTAGATTACATTTCATTTTCATTTTAGTGCAACAAATGAGCTTGTACCAGTCTTCAATTTAATCTCATTTAACTACCCGTATAAATACATTTAAAGAAAAAGATGTGCAAAGGTGCTGAATGCCCTCACCTAATTCATCAAGGCACTTGCTTAAGCACATGTTTAGTACTTTTAAGATTGCACACTAAGTGCTTCCTTAAATGCTTTGTTAGAGTGGAACACCTCTTACAGGACTAAGCCTTTTCCTATTATTGGCCATACATCATAAAGAGAAAACGAAAGTTTTAATGGGGGATTCAAAGCAGAAGTATCTCAGATGGACAGAGGAAAGAATTATAAATATACAGAGCAACACAGCTGAAAGGCTTATGGCATTATTTCCTGAAAGGGGAAAGAGAGAAGAATGTTTAGGGAACCCATATTGGGAGAAAGCAGGATGAGTCGGACAGCACGTGTTTCAGGAGGGAGTCTATGCTTTGTTGGAGGGAATGCAGTACAGAATCAGTCAGAGGGTGACCAGATGTTAGCATCAGCAGCTACCCCCACTCTTTCATGTTGCCAGCACACAATAGGTAACTGCTGAATCACACATTTACTCAGACTGTCCATACATGAGCAGAGAGTGTTCCATGACAGGCTTCTTCAACCAGTGATTCACCTGTGTCCTTGGGACTGGAAAGCATCTCTCTTTTGTGGACTCACAAACTATAACAGTGCCTCTTTGACAACTACCTCACTGATGTTTCCTGACACCCATGTGCTCCTAAGAAAAATGTATCTTGGTTGCTGATGTTATCAGAGCTGTTGATTTTCAGCCCAGTGGCCAAATGTCTCTCTACAACTGGTTTCAGCACACTATGCTCTACATTCTCTCATAGGGGTAGAGATGATGTCAGAATACACTTATTATAACAACATATGTATATGATAGAGAATTAAAACTTGATGGGCTCCTTCTCCATATGAACTCTGCTTGGCACAGAAATGTAAAAGAGGATTGATGCTTATGAGACTCACCTGCACTGATGCTAGGGATGGCAGGAGTCTGATCCAGTCCTTGGTGTTACTGGGCAGATCTACATGTGCCATTTATGCACCTAAATTTTCTGTGCAGAAAATTCAGGTGCATTAAACTGCATTCCCACGCACATCTGAACATGTGCCTGTTGGGAGTGCCCTGTTCCTGACAGGAGCAGTTCAGTCTAGGGCTGCTCCTGCCCTGCTCTGTCCCCCTGCAGCAGCCAGGGAGAGCTCCAGGGTCTGCTGGATGCCAGGCTCCAGGCTGGCAGGGGGCATGGAGGCTGGTCCCAATCTTTGTGGGGCAGGGAGAGCTGTCCTGGCTGCCAGGCAACTGCCTCCTGCCCCATGGAGATCCGGACCTGTCCCAATCTTGTCCTGATATCACGGGGCAGGGAGGCAGTTTTCTGGCAGCCAGGACAGCTCTGCCAGCCACGTGGAGATTGGGACATGTCTGGATCTCCACATTGCTGGCAGGCAGCTTTCCACCCAACCAGGACAGCTCTCCTCACCCTCAGTGGCCCCCTGCCACCTGGACTGACTGGAAGCAATTTGCTACTGGTCAGTGCCTACCACACATTAGTTAATGAACTGTTTTTCTAGTACCTGTATCTACAAGTACATCCCTCCACAGGCTTTCTACACTGACCTGAGGGATCACTGGCTGAGTCCCTACAAGAGTGAAGATGGCTTAGCGAGCCAGCACAGCAATGCTGTGCTACCTAAAGAACTCTTTGCATCACAGGGACTCTCTAACTAGTTGGTTGAGCCAGCAGAAAAGATAAAGCAGCTGCAACAGGGCTGACAGTCTGGCCCCACTACTATTACTCATTTTCAGAACCATTCATTGTGGTGAGTTCTCAAAGTTCAGCCACCTCATGCACAAATGTACAATCCCTTATTTATGTGAAAATGGAAGCACCCAGTTTGTGCATAAAGGTAGTCAGTCTGGGGTGTACAGCTGGTGCATTTGAGCAAGCATATGCATTCACTTACATCTGAATATTTGGTTTGATATAGATCATTTTCAAGGAAGCCCATCAGACTGTGAATGGAGTTTTATTCCCCTGGTATGATGTGCTATGTAGCCAGGTACAATGCTCTGTTCTAGTAGTGTAACCATATTTACTTCCATGGAATTTCACCAGTTTATCAAAGAGGAGATGCGGGACTATTGCATGACATCCCTTAATAAACTGCAATGTATCACAAGGCTATTTAAAATTAATTCACATGATAACTGTACAACAGTGCAGACCTCTGAATCTCATTATGCAGTGTGAGGCATCTGATTTTGTAAATCTTCTGACCTTTAAATCTTGCAGAACCACCTAACTTGGCACCATTAGTTACAATTTAATTTCTTTCACTAACTTGTTTTCCTTGGAACGAAGAAAAGAGAAAAAGCAATGTTAAAGCACAAATATAACCCAGAAACACAAAATAAGCTGGAGAGAAACTTCCAGTGCAAGAATTGATCTTGATGGCTGTCTGCCATTTAGAAGTGATTCACAGAAGCTGCTAACTTCAAAACATGCTGGAGGATGTCACCCTGAAAGAGAAGGAAACTGTGAAGAGAGAAGCTGAAAGTACAAGGATACTGAGAAAGCCTCCACTACAGTTAAGCAGCTGCTCTCCTGGGAGCCTGCAGAAGGGATGCAGAAATGTGCTGTGGTTATGCTTGTGAAGTAGAAAAAACTGAGGTTAGAAAAAATACCCCTTTGGTTTTTTTTTTTTTGGATCACTCCATCTAGCTCTCTTGCATTTTCTCTGATGAGGTACTGCACCCAACTGCCTACGCTGAAAACAACTAAGTACCAAACTAAAACTGGTCCTCTTTGTGGTTAAACTTCTCATCATCGTATCTTCTTTCTGTCACCGTGACGTCTCTCTTGCTCTTGGGTTTCCTTGTTATTGTAGAAGCAACACTCACTCCCCACAAAAAGCGCTCACAGCATAAGCAACGGAAGCTACACTGGGTCTAAGATTTCAATGGAAGAGAGAAATTTTACTGTGCCTCAATTACTGGCTGTGCTGAGGAACTTCTCCAAAAACCAGCAGATGTCCCAGAATGGGTGCCTGAAAAATGAGGTACCAAAAATGCCCAGTCAGTTTGGAAAATATAGGCAGCACTTTTGGCTTGAGTGGTAGTTGTGTGCAAGGGCAGCATTCGTTCTTGTTACAAGAAGAAACTTCTATAACAGAGTAACCTTTCAGAGACAGTACTAACTGAGCACTTTATATTGCACCTATAATCAGCAAACTAGTTCCCACAATGTCTCATTCTTCCTTAGAACCTTGGGTGTCACTTCCACAAGAGGAAGTTGCTACACAGTGCCACAATATGCTCACATAAAGAAACAAACAATACCTATAGGGTTGGGCCTGCTTCTAAGCTCCTGCCTACATTACATGAATGGGGCTACCCTGGTGGCAATCGTCTTACTTCTGGTTTGTGTAAGCGTGAGATCAAATTGACTATTCTATTTACACCTAGGTAAAGCAAAATGAAAATGCTACATCAGTATCACTTATAGCAGGGTATTCTGATTGGGTAGCACTTCACAGCCACTTTACCCAGATGCAAATAACAGACCTAGTAGAAAATGTTCTCATGGGAGGATTCCAGATTCCTCAAAAGACCGAACAGTTAAAATCCCAAAAATGTTGTTAAACAAATTGTATTCAATCATAATACCAAACAAACACATTGTATATGATCAATTAAAATAATTCATGTTAACCATCATGAAGTGTTTAGGTTTGATGTCAAAAGTTTTATTTTTTTTGTACTACAAATTAACACAAAAACCTAACCTAAAAGCAAAACTTTTAAATGTGAAAAGGTCAAAACTTAAGATTTCAACTATTTTGTGGTTTTATTTTATTTCCCCAAATACTTTTCAAATTGGGAGATCTAAGGCAACCTGTCTTTTCCTGGGAACTGTATCAGTTTTAGCAAATGATCATTTTCTAAGAAAGAAGGTTAGCTGGAAAAATTCCCAACCTGCTGGAGCAAATGACAGCAGAAGGTTAAAGGCGGTGGAAGTCCCTGTCTGGCTAATTTTGGTCTACTGGGTTTCTCCTGTAACTTGAAGATGAGTTGGAGCTGTGTACCCACAATGAGCCAGAGATTGGTCTCACTAAAGAATACGTTTGAAGAACTGCAACTGAAGTCACTAGAGATAGGTTGGTGTGAGACTAGAATTGGCAGTGTTTTTGCAAGACTTAGAAGTAAACATTCTGATAAACGTGTAGGG